TGCGTTGACATGGGCAAGATTTCGAGTCTTCGGAACGGCCCTGATCGATCCGGACTCAGTGCAAAAACCAAAGGTTGTAGAAAAAGTGTAATATTCAACAAATAAACTCGTGACTCAAACGTCGTTTATCACACTTGTTGCATAATATATTATTTCTATGAATAAAATTAAGGAAAGAAAAATAAATACTATGTTAATGTTTTCTCCTTGAGTATTCGCTGAACCCAAATTAATTTTAGCCGCGGTTCTTATATCTAAATATTGATTTTATTAATTATATTAATATATTCCCCAGGATAGATATTTTTATATTTAACTGACCCGCTTTATCACATCAATCTGAAGTGAAGGATGGATTTGATGCCTTTAGATTTATGTGCTCTTTGATAGCCAATGCTTTCTGTACTGAATGATTTTCTCATCCACATCTATTTTTATGTGTACTGTGATGTGATTAGATGTCGACGGCTGGTGTTAAGAATTGGGAGATTGAGAAAGAAAAAATTGAGAGGAAAGCAAACACAAGCGCTAGTCTGAAATTTAACAACAATTTAACTATGAGAATAATGATAATATTACAGGTTATAAGAAAAATTACACAGAAAGAAAAGATTTGCTTCATTTGCTAGCTTTTTTTTTTGTTTACTGGTAATGGGTATATCGATTATTATAGCAATTCGTAATCATTAGGTAAAGCTTGGAGCAACGCGTCACCCAGCGTCATCCCATAACAATAAATATAATTCCGGTTGTGCCTGTCGTCTCGGGGTGCCACTGGCCTTCGGGGGTAAAACAAGCCATTTGAATGCATAGTTGTCCGTCAGTCAGGGTGACATTACGGCGCGTCGGTGGCGTCGTTTCCGTGCGTCGCCTCGTCCCTTCGCTTCTTCCAAATCGCCAATAAATTGTCATAAAACCGTCAGATCGTCTGATTTGACAGCTCGGGGGTAATTAAAGAGAGAATTTATTGCAATGCTGTGCCGCCGTTCCCGACCGTGTTTCACGGCTAGAGTCTCTACCATCGGATGCGTTCATTGTTTAATATTTTCTATTTCTTTTGGAACCGCTTAAGTATCAGTATGGCGTCATGTAGTAAAGCTATTATTTATTATTTTAATTTAACTAAACGGCAGATAAGTTTCCGAAGTTATTTTTAAAGGAAAATACGCCGTCATTAATTTTAAGAAAATTTCAGAACATTTTGGGTGCAGTATCTTGTGTATAAAACCCGACTATTTAGATTTTGGAATATACATATAAGTAGATTTTTTGGTATTTATCCGTTCGATATTGCAAAACAGCTTGGGGCCAAGCATTTGCTATTAATAATGCCGCCTATTGTCTCCTTTGAATATAAGAATATACAAAATATAAACCTATTGGCTATAACCACATAAAACGTAGAGGTGAAAAAAATGCATCTGTAAATTTTAAATAAATAATTTAAAAAAAGTGATCTATAGTAGTGAGTGATTGAGAAATGAATAATTCCAACAATATAGTTACTTTCTACTTTGGATTGCACTTGAGTTGAGTCAATGTTCGTCAATGTTCTTTATTTATTAAACGTTTAATTTAGTTTAGGACTTAGAAAGTAACCGCTGAATTCAATTTATTGGATGTCATTTCCTTGCCAATCATTTTTATTTGCTATTAATCAAGGTTTCTTGTGATTTTTATGTTGGTTTGTAGGTTATATTATTGAATACTTTTACAGTTTAGAATATATTTACGATAGGATGAGTGTATTTCACTTTTCGCTGGTTAATTGTCTCCGCAACAACTTTACTTGCGTTCTAATTATATGAAACGAGTCTAGCTGGAGTTCTAGTAACTGACTAGATCTTACAATCTGAAATATTTTAGTAATTTTCTTAAAATATGTTTTAAGCTCTAATATTTTTGTTAAGTTCTATCGACGAAATCGTAAGAATATAAATTCTCTATTACAGTTAATTGATAAACAAACTTGAAAGAGTAAATTGAAAGATAACCAGCAACAACAACAAAACTGAGCAGGGATCGCGGTACAAAACGGAAGTAGCAAGATAATAATTACTTAACGTGAGTCTGAATTTTAAGCTCCAATAATACTTTGCATCATATTGGTGGTTAACTGAACTGAACTGCAAACGCTATCGACATGCGTGGCACTTAGACAAAAGGGTTGGAGTATTGAGTCCAAAAACAAGCCAACATGCAAGTTTGGCGCTAGAAGTTCGAAGCTTTAATAGGCGAGAGTTTTAGGACAAGCCGTCAATCAAGTCATACCAAAGCGTACCCACCGTCGCAGGTTGTTAACCACAAGAAGGAAATTGCGACATCTTTAAACAATCAAATTTCTGCTGAATAAGCGCACAGGATTGTCTATTTGATTAAAATACGTTCCTTTGTATTTTATTACACCTATTATAATTATAAATCCTGCTTGAAACTAGTCAAGTCAACAACAAATCAATGTTACTAAGGGGTGTTTTTTTTCGATGTATAGAACTTTAGGTTGCAATAAAACAACGATGGATTATTCGATTGACATGAATTTAATTTATCCTAAAGATAACCTTGTGACATTACATTTTAAATATGATTTCTGGCATATGACCGCCACGGCTGGCGCGGAGTAGTCCAATCTGGACGTCCAATTTTCAATGACTTTTTCCAACATTTGTGGCCGTATATCGGCAATAACACGGCGAATGTTGTCTTCCAAATGGTCAAGCGTTTGTGGCTTATCCGCATAGACCCACAGAAAGTAGTCTAGCGGTGTTAAATCACAAGAGGCCATGTCACAGGTCCAAAACGTGAAATTAGGCGGTTACCAAACGTGTCTTTCAATAAATTGATTGTGGCACGAGCTGTGTGACATGTTGCGCCGTCTTGTTGAAACCACATCTCCCGGACATCATGGTTATTCAATTCAAGAATGAAAGAGTTAGTAACCATAGCTCTATACCGATCACCATTGACTGTAACGTTCTGGCCATCATCGTTTTTGAAGAAGTACGGACCAATGATTCCACCAGCCCATAAAGCGCACCAAACAGTCAGTTTTTCTGGATGTAGCGGTGTTTCGACATACACTTGAGGATTAGCTTCACTCCAAATGTGGCAGTTTTGTTTGTTGACGTAGCCATTCAACCAGAAGTGCGCTTCATCGCTAAAAAAAATTCGCTTATGAAAATCGGGAACAACGGCAATCTCGTTTTGGGCCCATTCGACGAATCTACGCCTTACTTGATGATCGTTTGGCTTCAATTCTTGCACGAGTTGGATTTTGTAAGCACGTAAACCAAGATCCATCCGCAAAATCTTCCATAAAGTGGATGGACACAGATCCAATTCCTGTGCTCGATGGCGGATGGACTCATTCGGGTCTTCCTCAATGCTACGCTCTACAGCAGCAATAGCTTCTTTTGTGCGCACTGTACGGCGTTTCTGGGGATGCGAGTTATCAATAAGAGTAAACGTGGTGCGAAAACGTTCCATGGTTAATCGAATTAACTGCTCTGATTTACGATTTTGTCGACGATAAAATGAACGTAGTGCGCGATACGTTTTCCGCACAGAACCATTATTTTCGAAATAAAATTGCACTATTTGCAAGTGTTGTTCAGGCGTGAGTCTATTCATGATGAATTGCAAACCAAACTGAGAATAAATCACTTGACAACTGTTAAATCGGTCGCCATCTTGAACAGTAATGCCAACTTAAAGTTCTATACATAAAAAAAAACCATTATAAATTAAATAATACTCAAACATTTTACTTTTACTTTACTTTTTTAATTTACTATTAGATTTCATCTTGCAACGATTCAGGTACTTAAAGTGCTCTTTTTTAAATTGTATTTCAGCGCAGAATATTACAAAATTTTCTAAATAATATTGTTGAAAGCAATTACTTAAATAATTTCTTTTGGAGCTTAATGCCGTTACTTTGTACTGAACTGATTTACCATTCCTAAGGAACAAACGTTGACATACTTTTACCGTAACAGCATCGCTTTCTTCTCCCTTTTAGATGATCCCGTTCGACACACGGGTGCGTAATTCCTCCCGCTAAAATGTACACCATTCGCGTCGTTAGAAAGCAAGGGCCACGCCGATAACACACACACACACACACACACTCGTTGGAAATAAAGATCCAAATCTTAATATACTGCCACTGTGTTTCAAATTGTTCCCAAATTTACGAGCAGTTTGTTATCGGGGTTAAAAATTTGATTAATGAAAATTAAAAAATTATCTGCTTAACTTCTTATTCAGCAAAAACCATTAACACCAGCGACATTAGCCATGCATTATTTTCCATTTTCCATAACCAGTTCAGTTGCATTGAAGGTCCGGAAGGATTAGAATCGATTTGTGCAGCAGTTCACTAGGCACAATTTGACGGTAAATTTTAGGTAAATAATAACAAATCTCCAATATTGATTTTCGGTTACTAGGAGGGCTTGATTAAAGGAAAATGATATCTAGATGATGGAAGTGAATTCTAGTGAGTCACGGTAATTATGCAGTTTCAGAGCGCATTAATATACATATTTGACTCTGATGTGCCATCTGGTTCATGTTTTTCTTATTCGATTTTTACTGTATTTTGATATCATTTTGTTGTGTTTAATATTTTCCCTTCAAAAACACAAAAACCACACTTTTCCAAAAAGCTTCAAAAAAAATTGTAAGTTCTTTTTGTTTGTTTTCTTTATAATAGGATTAACGCAGAAGTATTACAGGGTAATTATTTGTTTTCTTCTTATTAAAATTGCTCTTTTAATTAGATTACAACAATACCATGTGATCACAATTTGTTTTGAAATTTTGTACGTATCTCTTCGTTACAAGAAATTGTAATAAATAAATGTTGTTTATTACAATTTCTTATAACGGAGAGATACGTACAAAATTTAAACATAAACTCTGATCACATGGTATTGTTGTAATCTAATTAAAAGAGCAAATGCTTTTCCATTAGTACCTGTTAATATCCTACGGCGGGGCGAAAAAACTTAGAAATAATTAGGTACCTGCCAATTGATATTAAGATGGTTGTGCCAACTTAGCGCTTTAAATATTTCGAGCAATAACGATTTTCTTTTTGCAAAAAGAGACTATATTTTTTACGTATAAGGTGTAGTGTGTCTCTGGTAATAAACAGAAATGCTTATTTATTTTATTTAATTTCGTCGGATATACGGCACCTATCAGTAGTATCAATGCAAGAAATGTTTTCTTAATTGTTAAATAAAACATCGTGTAAATCACTAAGGAGTCACATTAAATCTAAGTTATTTGTACATTACAATTTTAATATTTACAAATTACAAATGTAATATTTCAAAACCCTTATTTTCCGATTTTTGTGATAACGTTGGATGAAATAGGTAAGGACGAAAACAGTCATTTAATATTTTTTAATTTAATTAATTTAATTTTTTAATTTTAATTTTCTGTTCCTGTCATTTAGTCATTCAAGTTGCTCTTTTTAACGTTGGAAAACTTTTGATGCAATCATTATTTAACGCTTAATAAGTTTTATAAATAGGATCCGTGGCAAATTCAATATAAGTTGATGGTGCGAAGTGTTCGAACACCACAACGTCATTGGTTCCCTCGTTTAGGAATGGCGCGGGAAGATACAAAGTCTGCTCCGGACCCATTTTTGCGTAGCGACCAAGCACAAATCCGTTCACGATAACGATACCTTTCGTCCAGTTTTCCATATGGACGTACGTATCTCTCGGACTCCCTGATATTTCCAACGAAGCTTTGTAGATCTTAGGTTCGTCGTCACTACCGGCGACACTGAAGTCTCTCCAACTGTTCAGCGCGTTGTTCCAGCTCTTTTTAAACTCTAATGCGTACATCGTCCAGTCATAGACGGGATTATCGTTTATTTCGACGTTTCCTTGCCAAATTCCTTTGTAGTTCTTGTAGACACCAACGTTTACGCGGCCCCAGTTTTCCACCACCAAGTCGAGCGTAGCTCCGTACAAATCTTGGTCGGTGAGTTTTAGATAAGAATTCATAGTTTTCCAAGTCCCGAAATTGTTCAAATCCGCAGATTTTTCTAAAGGCGGCGAAACCCTTTTGCCGTCGATTAAAACTATCACAGTGTCGCCGACTCTGCCATCGATTTTGATCCACGAATCCGCCTTGAGATCCAAAGTTTTCCTGTAGATGACGTACCCGTAACTCTGGCCGTTGCCGTTGTTGATGTTCATTTGTTCCATGGACACGGGAGTAGGCGTTTGAAATGATGGCAACGACCAAATAACATCGGAAAGGCTGATTTCCTTCTGAACCGTGATGCTGTCGTAAGCTTTCCTGTGAACTATGTCGGGCATGGCCGGCAAAACAGTTGGTACAGGGTTGTACTGAGCAATTAGCCTTTGAGCAATGTAATATTTGTCCGTGTAATCGCCAGCTTCGGTTAATAAGGCTCCGTAGTCGTAACTCGATACGATCGAGTTGTAATCTGAAAATTTTTAGATTTTCCATTAGGTTTCCAGCCGACATTCAAGTACAACGTCCACTCCAAACAGTGTTACTCTGAGAGGGTCTGTTTTGATGGAAAATATATTTTTTTGTATTTGTAATCCACCGTTCGAGATGGACTCGTTTGACTGGAAACTTGGGAACGTCTTGCATCCGAGCAGAAGGCGCTGCGAATTTATAAAAGCGGAAAAGAGGTTCGACAAAGGGAGTGTAGAGTCTACCAAGTAAATAAATAGACATTTATTTAAATTATTTGTATTGCCTACCCGTTTATTATAGGATGACAGCTTATCAGAACTTGCAAAAAGTATATAAAAGTATATAAAAGTATATAAAAACAAAATTTAATTTGAATTCACTTACACTTTTAAAATATTATGTTGTTTTATATGTAGTACGTTTTTATTTTCGTGAACAAGTAACAACTTTCTCGTTTTATATGAATATTAAACATTTTTAAATTCTTCGGACATTTGAAATTTATGTGAAAAGCGACTTTCACAGGTCTAAATGTATCTATCCATTACTCCTTATTATGTATATGGGATTGATATTTTAAAAATAATCAAATACAAGGTGACCAAAAACTAACAATAAAAAAAAAACATTTTCATAATTTTATAGTAATTAGCATTCAAAAAGAATGATTTTGTATAAGGTTGATTATTTCAATAAGTTGTAGATTTCCAAATTTTAGCAATAAAAAGTTTTTCTATTGTAACAATCCTTTTATGTTTTGCTGTTAGTTGACTATGACGATGACGGCCAACATACCAAAAAAACAGTGGACCACTATAGAAACGTTACTATTTTGACTATGAGTTTGGAAAATATTTGACAGGTTTCTGTCACCTAACCCAACCATTTTTTGTTGTTGTTATGTTAATAAAAAAGATTATCTCGTGTCAATACAAAGTGAATAAAAATAGTAGGTGTAATTTCTGTAGTGCTGTATTCTTTTTCTTCCATATTACATTCCCTTCTTCTTAGCAAATAGCATATTTACAAAGTCAAAATAACCCTTTTGACAGCAAATACGATAAATTTATAAAAATGGTAGCATTCAATAATAAACGGGTCATCCGATAGAGAGTGATAGTCTTAGCTCTCAGTTACTTCAATTGTTTTTTAACAGTATAACATTTTTAGTTCAGTTTAAGTTTTACGAGGATCGACTTGAAACTTCAATAAAGGTAAGAATATTTCAGTTTAAGGCCTCCGCCACACCACAAAGTATTTGAAATTTAGGCAAAATATAATTCTTGATTTACTTGTACTCATAATTAAAATGTGGCTAATTGTTTTAAAATCACGAACCGTTTTCTTAAGATTTAAAAGGAATGATATAAATAAATTAACGAAATTTAAAAAATATGGTAAATCATTTTTGGAATTTTATTTTACTTTGAGTCACCATCTCCTCTTTGTATAATTTCACAGACATTGTGAAAAGTGGAATAACTATTTTGAAAATTGCTTCAAGATTTTAACCAATCACTACTAACCGGTGTTCCAGTCGTCGAATGCCAAATTCTCAGCTCCATTCAAGAAACCAAAACTAGTTCCCCCGATAAACATGTATACGTTGACAGATGCCGGGTAGGATACAATTTGACCGAACACTTCTTCGAAATTTTGGGCTGTTTTGACTGTGTGCTCGGTTCCCCAATAATCGAACCAACCTAAATCAGAACGAAATTAACGTGACACATTCTGTTGGGTTCTGCGAAAACTAACAGAAGTAAAGAGGGTAAATTATATAATTAATAACTATTATTATAAATTGGGAATAAAATCTTTTAAAATAGTTTTACTTTTAAATTATGGGGGTCTCTTTTAGTTTTTAAAATTATTTGGACCACTAATCATTTTTTTATTTTTTTTGTAATGGTTTTAGATATAGGGCCGAAAAGAAAATAAAAATTTCGCATTCACGAGGTTTTCCTCCTAGGGGGAATTTTTTTAATGGAATTTTTTCACTGCAAAATAAAATGAAAACCTGGCAAGACTGAAGTATGAGACAAATAAAAAAATACTAAAAAAAATGTGTTTTCTAATGCTACTAATACTAAATTACCAAAAAAACAAACTTTGCAGGATAAATTTAGTATATTATTTGATATTTCTAATTACCATAGTTAACTTGATTTTTAGACACAGATCTATTTCTGGCACTTCCTCTAAATTCCGCTAACATAACTTAAATTGAAAAATTGACATTGTATTAGGTTTTTGTTAAAATTCCTATCAAAATTAAAATTATTTAGAAACAAATATTCCAATATTCCAAAAGTGTGTTTCGGAATTTACCTGACCAATACTCCATAACCATAAGCGGCTTGTTGTTCTGATACTGCTTCAAGTAGTTGAGGTTTTGGATGGCATCCGAATCGAAATTTCCCGTCATGAAAAACAGATCTGGAATGGTACCAGCAGTGCCTTTCCAGGGATTGTCGGCTGTACTTAATACTTCCACGATACCTTTAAGTAAAAGTTCGAATAAAAAAATAATTATAATTATAATCTAACCTACCGTTATCTAACATCAACTGTCTAAGTTGTTGTAAGTATGTCTTATCTTGCCCGCCCGTGAGCGCAAATTCGTTTTCCACCTGGAACATTATGATGGGACCCCCTTTGGTGAACTGGCGTTGGGCCAAAATTGGAAGTAATTTATTAAACCACCTGCTGACGTATTGCATGTAAACGGAATTCGAGCTTCTAAATTCAATATTTGGTTCCCGAAGCAACCATGGCGGAAATCCTCCGTTTTCAAATTCGGCACATATGAAAGGTCCTGCACGGATAATGACGAAGAGATCCTCTTTTTGTGCTAACTCGATAAAAGTTTCCATCCAGAGGAAGTCCTCCATTTCCGAACCGCTATTACCAAAGTCATATACACCTTTAAATGTAATTGAACATTTTTATGTAAATAAATGGTTAGGTGTTCGAAATCGGCACAGTCAGGTACGAAGCAAAACTGTAACTTATAACCCGAAGAAAACGCTTTAGTAACAAACAAAATATACCTGATTCGGGTTCGTGCAAATTCCATGGAATATAGGTTTCGACTGCATTGAAGCCAGCAGCTCTAAGTTTCCTTAATCTATCCCTCCAGTACACCCTGGGTACTCTAAAATAATGGATGGCCCCGCTGTAGATTGTAATCTGTTTCCCATTCAAATATAGAGCAGGTTGATCGACGGATAACCCCGACTGAATTCCTCCTTCAGTGTAGAGTTCATAGTTGGTTTGTAGGGCTAGAGCGCCGAAACTACCAAATACCGCGACAAAAATTACCGACAGCAACATTTTTGAGTATTATTGTTGCCACCTACAGCAGTGGTATGACGGTGACGCCTTTTATAACTTTGCCTTATCTTCTCACTTTTTGATGTCGTCAACTAAAGTGACTGTTTTATTTGCTTTGGAGCACTCGAGCGAAAGTGTTTTATTTGCTCTTTATTTAAATAGCGTTTTATCTGCCACAGAATTTCAATAGACGTTTATTTCAGTTATTTGCTTTTAAAAAATAGCAATGCGCAAAGCAATGTCGCTAAGTAATTTGGTAAACCATTCGTTTGATTGTTTTGATGTTCTATTAAATGTTTACACAGATGCCAATCTTACTAGCATGAGAGGGCAAAGAGCAAGCAAGCTTGTGATAAGATGACAGCAGACAAGCGAATCAATCGGCGCTGAATTGGCGAAGTCGAATGGGATAATGTTGGAAGTTCGAATAAAGCAAGCTTTTAAGAAGCGGGACGCCCCAGACGTTAACAGCTGTTGCAAACCTGTGTTGTTGCTTGATTGACTGTTTACTCTATTCAATTTGATTAGCCAATAACCAAATGTGCAGTTTTTATAAAATAAATATTTTACCAAATGCCTGGGTATAGAACTTGTTCTTCAGCAAGTCGTTGACATATTCTATCCCTTGAGTAGTATTTCTGTGGATCCTGTTGTTGGGTGCTTTACTTCCGCCATCACGATTATTATATAATAAATTTTAATTTTAATGAAAATATCTTGTTTCATTTAAGTCTATTGTAATACTGGATCGTATTAATACAAACAAAGTACATAATTAGAGGTATTGCACTATTGCAACTTTAAATGTGTATTTGCTATGAATTTACAAGAGAAAAGCACAAAAACATCTTGTTTTGTGGTACTCATTTAATTTTATTCTCTTATTTTTCGGTTTTTTGATATCCGCCATTTTCTTGACTTTATTTTTCATATTGTGATTTTTATTAATACTTTTCTAATATCCAAGTTTTTTATTGTTACTATAAACATCATATTATTCCAGGGCATGTCTTTCGCAGACCTAATGGCATCAAATGTAATTTTTTTATCTAAAATTATCTCGTAACCAATGCAAATAAAGGATTTGATGATGATAAATGAAATTTCGGACTCGTCTTTATATTTTTATTATATACTTTATATTTGTGACCATAAGTCCAGCAAAAATATGAACTGATATTCCAAGCTGTCTTAATGTGGAAGATTTAAAAAATGGACTAAAAATGGACAACTCTAGGTGATATCGTCTGTGCTTATCATTATAGCAGCAGAAGAGTTGATTTTCCGAACAAATGTTAGTACATTGAGGTTTTATCTAGTTTTGATTATGAGATAGCGATAAAAATTTTTCGAATAAAATGAACATCGATTCAATCGCGAATTTTGTTTTCAACCGAAGAATACAAAAATGTGCATCCGCGTAATTGTTTTGATACTTTTCTCGACACTATGCGCAAGTGCCTTGCAAACCAATTACGATTTATATACCGCGAATGGAATTAGCTCTGGGTTATCGGTTGATCGACCTGATTTCACTTTAAACGGGAAAAATATAAGCATTTACAGTGGTGCCATCCATTACTTTCGGGTTCCGAGAGTGTACTGGAGAAACCGTTTGACAAAATTAAGGGCGGCTGGGTTTAATGCCGTCGAAACATATATTCCATGGAACCTGCATGAACCACAGTCCGGTAATTTTGCTTAAATATTATAATGTTAACTAGTTAAAATCTAAAATTGAGCGAATTAAGAGAGCCTTACAAATTGTCCAAGATAAAAACAAAAAAAAACTATGGTAATATGTTAAAATATTTTTCCAAAATTGTTTAAAAAATCATGTTTACTACATATGTACGTATCTATTTATATATTGCGCGAATTTAGCTATAAAGAATACAAAGTTTGTGGACTGTACTACTACAGGAAATTACAGGAATTCAAGTGAATTTTGTGTATTGCGATTAGATAAGCAAGCACTTACAGAATTTCGAAATATTAAAATAAAAACAGATTGATGATAACGATGAATTTTTTAATACTCTTTGGTAAATTTTTATCTCTATGTACTACAATATAAAGATTGAAATGAAATATAAATACAATTTGAAAATCATATAATAAACTGCTTAAATTGTTTTACAATTTAATTATAACAGTTTTCTGACTAGTTTTCCTAAGCGATGGAGAATCTGAGAATTAATTTAACTTAATCATTCTTCTTCAGTTGGTAAAAATGTTTTATGGCATACAACTCTCTGTTAGTCTTTTTTACTTGAAGCAGGCCATTCTCGCCCTAAAAATAACCGAATATTTACAATTATTGCTTAATACTTAAACTGCCATGTGTATCTTTCTTAATTCCCAGAACGCCATATTTATATATACATATAATATTTTTAGCAGTGCTACACATATTCTTTTTTCCCTTGCATACATTTCTGGAGTTGCATAACAACATTTATGCCAGTCTACAAGCACTAATTCTTGAAAAGGTTTTGTTTTAACACTTTCAAAGCAGAAATTATCCTGTATTTTAATGTATATGATATGTACACGTGATGTAGAATATATTTTTCTTACTTCTACGCTAAGTGCACTTACATATATTTGTGGCTTGGGAAAATTTATAATGACAGTCAAAGTGTTAAATTGCTTAATTGAATGTTTAGGTAGAGAATTCCATTTGATGTTTCCAGTTTTTGCATCGTCATACCACTGAACACTGTTTTCTCTTCGATTCAATATAGGTGTTTATGATTTCGGCAATGGCGGATCTGAAATGGAAGACTTTCTCCATCTGGAAACGTTCATCGAATTGGCTCAGCGTGAAGATCTTTTCGTCATTATCCGTGCAGGCCCATTCATTTGCGCTGAATTCGAATACGGGGGATTTCCCAGTTGGTTGCTTAGAGAACGTGACATCGCATTTAGGAGTTCTAATTCAGTTTACATGCAGTACGTAAGCAGGTGGTTTAATGTGTTACTTCCGATACTGGCCAAACACCAGTTCACCAAAGGGGGTGCGATAATTATGTTCCAAGTTGAGAACGAATTCGCTCAGAAGGATAAGGGAAACGATAAAACCTATTTAAATGAGCTTCGCCAATTAATGTTGGATAACGGTAGGTAATAAGAATGTGATCATCAGATATACGCGAGTTGTTAATTGCAGGAATTGTGGAAATTTTAAGCACCGCTGATAACCCCTGGAGAGGAGTTGGAGGAACTATTCGAGACGAGTTTTTCATGACAGGCAATTTCGATTCAGATGCCATTCAAAATCTAGATTATTTGAGGAGCTATCAGCCGGGAAAACCAATCATGGTTATGGAGTACTGGTCAGGTTAGTTTCTTTTCTAATAAATTGCTGCATTTTTATTTACATAATTTCGTTAGGTTGGTTTGATTATTGGGGAACATCGCATCAAACCAAAGCTGTTGAAGAATTTGAAGAGATTTTTGAACAAATTCTCTGGTATCCGGCATCGGTCAACGTTTATATGTTCATCGGAGGCACAAATTTCGGCTTCCTAAGTGGGGCTGAAAATCTGGCGTTTGACGATCTAAATACCAGTAAGTACAAAAATGGTTGTACTAGTTTCAGTGCTGCGAGATAAATGGTTGCGGAATATATTGTGGTTTATAGTGTTCTGGCAGGGGGAAGGGCGGCTTTTGCTATATTGTCATGTTAATCGGTCAGTCCTTATTCTAGATTAACTAAGGTTAATAATCTAAACTAAGATTCCTTCTTTTCTTCTCATTCAATTTCAATTCCTCTATAAAAACTGATTAGGATTTGCTGACTGTTCAAACGAATTATATATAAGTTATTGATAAACAAAATCTTCAGCCTGAAAACCTCTCAACGGATTATAATGGATTAGAAGGAATGAGGAAATTGCTTGACTTATTTCACGATCAAACCTTTATATAAATCTAGATGTTCAAACGATTCTTAACTATGTAGAGTGTTGAAATTTCAATATTGGTTGTTGATACCAGCAATGGTCGTTATATGTGTGCAGAGAAGAAAATAAATACATAAATATCAGTATTTAGTTCAAATCAGTATCAACCCAAAAGTGGACAAATTCACACCATCACGTACACACGCATAAATCCTTACAGTATACGAGAAAGTTCACAATTACTCAATAGATATTTAAAAAATATATATATTTAATAAAAATTGACCAGTGGCGTTGGTACAGGATGTGGACTAAATATGAAAGTATTATACACGCCGTTGAGTAAAAATCCTATAAACTTATACTTCAGAAAATTGCTGTCATTAAATTGATAAACCATTTTTTTCTTAAAACCTAAATACCCTGTAAGATCCGCGTTTTATTTGGAACACCCTGTATAGTCAAAATAGTATGGTTTAACATTTTCATTAACATAATACTCCTATGATATATAATCTTCATTGCCTATTTTATTGATTTAGCTGATTCCAATAATAGCGGAAGCATTAAATCTTCAGGCAATAAAAATGAAAAAGGTGCATCTCTACAGAAATATTATGGCCACCTGAGACATCAATTTTTACCATATTAGGACCACTATATTATTTAACAGATAAATGCCTCAAGCCGAAGCCTATGTAAATCGAACTTTCGATGTTTTTTATGCAGTTTTAGAGAATATGTGATTTGGATAATCTTTGAATTAATGAAAAGAACAAGAGAAACATAGATCCGAATATTTGTTTAAGCTTGGTAGCATGAATTTACGTTTATATAAACAATTATATATTGTTTTAGAATTCTCACCGATCACCACGAGTTACGATTACACCGCGCTATTGACAGAAGCTGGCGATTACACAGACAAATATTACGCTGCTCAGCGACTTATCGCCAAATATAATCCGTTTCCCACGCTTTTACCTGAAATGCCGGCGCTGGTCCACAGGAAAGCTTATTCAAGCGTCGCCGTTCAAGAACAAATAACTCTCTATGAAGTAATTCCGACGCTGCCTTCTTTTGTTACGTATCATCCCGTGTCGATGGAAAATATGGACATCAACAACGGTAACGGCCAAAGTTACGGCTACGTAGTTTACAGGAAAACACTGGATTTGGATGCGAATTCATTATTAAAAATTGTGGGAAGAGTGTGCGACACCGTTATAGTTCTCGTGAACGGCAAGAGAGTATCGCCAGTGCTGGCCAAAGCTGCTGATTTGAATAACTTTGGTACGTGGAGGACGGAAAATAGCTCTCTGAAGTTGACTGACGAAGATCTTCGCGATGCAACGCTTGATTTGGTGGTGGAAAATTGGGGTAGAGTAAACGTGGGTGTCTACTATCAACCCAAAGGTTTGTGGCAGGGCGATATCGAGATCAACGGGGAACCCGTTCACGATTGGCTGATGTACCCGTTGGAATTTAAGAAAAGCTGGACTGATTCTCTTTCGCAGTGGAAAACTTTCGCTGTGTCCGATAATAATGACGAACCGAAAATTTATAGAGGCAATTTGGAGATATCCGACACGCCGCGAGATACTTACGTAGACATGGAGAATTGGACGAAGGGTATTGTGATCGTAAATGGTTTTGTATTAGGAAGGTATGCCAGAATTGGACCGCAGCAGACGTTGTACTTGCCGGCTCCGTTTTTGATTGAGGGGTCTAATCAAATTGTAGTATTCGAAGAGTTTACCTCCGACTCTGAGGTAAAATTCGTAACAGATCCATTGTATAAGAATAATTAATAAATACGATTCATTAAACAATGTTTTTAATGTTACGTACCCCAATATACTCAAGTAGATCATAATTAGAAATACCCTACAAACTGTTCAGTGATACTCGTCGGATATATTAATACAAGTCACACAAATTTAGAAAAACCAATTACTCATATAGATTTTTCAAAGAAACTTCCACATGCTACTGTAATGCTTTTTACAAAACTTCTGGATTCCTCCTACGTCGGTTTTTGCTCAGTCGAAATTGCTGACGTTTCGCCAATCATCCTGTTGGCTTCTTCAGAGCTTGACTGAAGCTGGCTCCAGCTTTTCACTACATGTAAAAAATTACTTTACCAAGAATTTTTCCGTTTCGTATTATTTGAGCTTGAAGTTTTATGTAAATAGCCTCAATGATAGTTTAATTTTCCATTACCCTCACGATATTCGGCGGAATGCATGGCCGGAAACATTGTTATCCACAGAGGAGTCTTTTATTTATTATTATTTTATCGACCTTTATGTCTTTTTGTCTTACAATTTTTGGAAGAATCGGACTAATATTTCGAAAGTGCATCACGCGTGTCAAACCATGTCTCCATTGACTTACATTACAAGACGATTTTCAACATGATACTTTTCTATAGCCATTTTTGCCATCAGTTTGATTCTCTGTAGAACTACTTCTGTTTTGTGAACTGGACCATACTTCAATCTCATTTTAAGCAGGATTCTCGGGAGGATAATAGTCTAGAGCTTAGTTGGGTTTGAAAGTATTTGACACCAATCTCTTTCTCTAGTCTAAGATATCTTTCGTATGTAAAGGACTATAAACATTTTTTTACACTTTCCTTAGGGATAAATATCCTTTTTTCGCCCGAACACGAGAAAAAGCTTTATCAATGTTTCAATGCTCGTTTATACCTAAGAAGTAATACAAAAAAGCCATTCTCGTAAAAAATATTAGTTTTATTGTAAAAATATATTTTTAGTTCAAATTGAAATAATTACTGGTATTACAGTCTTGCGTTCTCAGTAACGTCAACAAAATAAAGATGAAGTAACTATCGTTATTGTTATTACAAATACTATTACAATGCTAACCTTTCCATAAGATCTTTTATTTGATACCATTTTGGTTAATGCATATTTTAGCACTTAAGTATAGTCAACTTAAAAGACGAGGAAGATATGTTCAAACAAAATTGCAAAGTTAAAATACTATACTGTATGCGAGCTTTACAAAATGAAATTTCCATTTATATTGCTGTTAAAACAACGAATGCATATGAAAAATTATGTTTAATATAAATTATGGATGTTGTCTTATTGAGGTATTATGAATAGATATAACGCACATCCTTTCCATGCGATAAATGCGCAAACAAGAATTTATCACGCAATTTGGTTAGAAACTTTGGCTGCAATAAAATGTCTAAATTCATATGTTTATATGAGCCCGCATAAGCTCCGTTTATTCCAGTAGGACCAACTGCTATTAATCGCGATAACACCTTACCTGGACATTGACTGTAATTTTTAGGTTGAGTTCAACCAATTACAAGCAAATAAAAATAAAAAATAAATATATTTTTCTACTCTCGTCTGTAAAATACCTATTTACCTACCCATCTAGCACGCGTGCCAAGCGTCACTTTACCACGTCAGTTTTATTTCCCATGGATCCGAGCCACTTCGGATATTTCCGGGGTTTTACCGCCATGTCAGTGAATGTATTCGTGTTGTTTGGTAAAAATGTACCCACGAATACGTTCGGTAAACTTTTTAAGACTCACAAACTCGTGAGTCGAATGCCGTTTACCTCACTTGTTGCATAATATACTATTTTGAGTTTGCTTCGGATAACAATCGCTAGATGAGGGCGAAATTTTGCGGAGCTAGTTTACAGTTTTAAGTTTAAAGGTGAAAGCATCAGACATTCCGTCTGGTTTTTTATCGATTAAACGTTCGGCTGACGTCCGGTGGATATTATCATTCTTACCGCCATTTTTTTCGTAGTGTGTTTGTTTCCCAAAGGAAGCGCTTTTAAACCGGCACGTGACAACTGCTTTCCGAGTCCATTTATGGCCGAATCGGGCCCATTTCTAAGCTGAACGTGTCACGTTTTCATCGCTGACATTGTTCGCATAATACCCCAAAAACAGTTTAAAATACGGCGCAGCTTGGTTTGTTTCATCTAAAATATCCAGCTAATACACTGACCCTAAGTCTATATGGAGACTACATGGCAAAAGTGGTAAAAAAACTGAAAGAAATGGAACATTTGTTTTGATTTGGATTTGATTTAGATTTTGTGTATCTAAAATATTGCTTTATAATCCTTTTATTATTTTGGTGAAATAAAATACAAATGAACGGATTGCAACGGACTCCATTTAGTCCTCTTTAAGTGTATCTGTTAGTGCAGTTGTGTAGGTTTCGTAAGTCGATAAGTTTGAGAGCTCTAGGACACTATTAATTGTGGGTCTTTAAAAGTAATTAAAAAAATAATTCATGATGTAATATGATAACACTTTTCGCTAACAGTTTAATATAACTATCGGCCGGTAACAAGCCCCCACTCTTAATCACAGAATATTCGCCTATTTTAGAGTCAGCTTGTCAGTTGATTTGCTGACTCCAATAATACCACAGCTTCTGATATCCGCTCAATCCAACCATCCAATTCGTCTTAAATGCCGGACATGCCGGTAAAGTTCGCACCTGTGAGTGCTATCGTATAAGGGTCGGTACTCGAGAAGCTGCTCTAAATGCTACTCGTTTCCATTGCCAAAAAAGTCATGTTAGTATGAAAATGGAAGTGAAAATATTATTTACTTTGTAATAATATGATTACGCAACAGTGTGGTAAACAGCATTTACCGAAGTTGTTGCATACTATACTTTTTCTAAGGTTTATGTGAAGAAATGTTAGATGCAATCTATCACCAGCTTAAAACGAACAAATTTTGATGAAGAACAAGACTCGATAAGGAAAAAGGAAAAATGAATACAGCTGTCATTTTGCAACGATCCTGTATTTTTGGATTAATTGTTCATTTTAATAAAGTTACATGTCCATCATAACTATCTTCATATTATTTAAATTTGAATCCCAAGAAATGATTTGCGTAACCCTTTTGTTAACATAGTTGAATTCGAATTGATTTTCAAAACAAAAAACTACCTGCATCCCTCATAAACCTCTTCAAATGGCTTTTTTTCGACCCATGCCCTAATACGTATACAGCCAATCCCATCGTAATTTCCAAGCGGGACCAATCGACAGTCGTCCTCGTAAACATCGTCGCAGGATGGCTTAGTGTGTGCAGCGGTAAGAGCGGGAGTCGCAGTATCCATTTCTGGCACAAGTTACGATGTTTACCTCGGGGATCGGTCGGGAACAACGGTCCGCTCCTGTTGCCCTCCCGACTGATGTTCAGATAGCGTCTGTTTTATTGGACGGCTTAAACTACGTCCAGTCTAACGGACCTCGTATAAAACGCTATCTACCTATCCCGAAGGACGCTTTCCAAGCTCGGTCGTCTCAGTGGCCTAGACAGTAGCTGCCGACGAAAACTGTATATAAAATTATGGGTAAGGCCACATTTTTATAATTCTTGATACCCGTTCGATTAAATATTTTAGCAAGCCCATCTTGTGGCTATCTATGGACTTAAAGACCCGGACTAAAGATAGGAATAATCTAACCAAATATTTTAAAGGAATCTTGCACTACTCCATTTATCTTCTCTCTTTCTACCACGTTCCGCTCAGAATTAATCACATTTACCTTATAACTTGTTATTAGGTATAAATTTTTTATATGAAATATTTCAATAGTTCTCTTCTTCACATATATCATCCCGCTTTTGTATCTTTGGCCATTTTTAATTTTATTCATATTCTGTAGTAATTTACTTAGAAACAACAAGCTTCCAAACTACTAATGACTAATTAGGTTTATTAGTATGGAAAGTGGATCTATCCACCAAGAGCGAATGCGAGGTAAAATTCAGGAACAGAAGAACTTCACAGTTTTCCACAATCGCCAATTTTCCAAATTGTATTCCACTCAAGAGCAAACAAAGATGGACACCTAATTCCACTTTTGTCCAGTCCGCTTGTGCGAAATACAAAGACATTTTTGCTTAAATTCATGGATCTTGGACGAAATAGTCGTACAACGCGACAAAGGGAGAAGCCTCCTCTTTTAAAGCTTAGATCGTCATCTCGTGTGCAACACGAATTAACCCCCCTCCTTTGATGTGGCATGGAGGCATGAAAACGAGCGGACAGGTTGCGGCCGAGCTCCATTTTCCGACTTACACACACGGAATTATTGCAACTGACTTAGCAGCCGTTGCGCGGCGCTATTGTCAAGTTTCATTAGCGTACGGCGACGTTGCCTTTGATGATATTTATCGCTTATTCATAAGTGACTTTGAAATGGGTTCGGAGCGACGTTGCCGAGCGCCTACAAACGGAATTTAATTGGTTTACCGCAATGTCATCTGGCGTTTTGCGTTTACGGGAAATTTAAGTACATTGCTGTGAATACGATGCATGTGTCCTTCTAATTAATTAGCTACGAACACGATTTGCGAATGTGACACGTATTTCAAATTTTCTGCCGGGTTAACTTTGATGTCTATTTTTAATGGAAATTCGTTGTTCTATTTCAAAAGGATGACAATAATAGGAAGCTGGAAAACGCACGCAATGCTCAGTAAATGACGTGCACCTTTTGCTGCTCGAGAAGCACTATTTGAAACATTAAGTAAACAAATTAAGCACGTATTTCGCTCACCGTACTTTTACGTACCTAGATAAAAAAGAAAATAACACTTTTTTACGCTTATTCATATAAACTTCCAAATGGAAAGGCACACGTAAAAATGACGTCGAATGTGTTAAATTTTTATAGCAATAGTAAACCTTTAAGGGCAGTTCAATAATACGGACAATTATTAAGAATGGTGTTGAAGGTGCACGGGATGCCACAATACTTCGCCTTTTCCCCAGGATA